TTTTCTAATCAAATCTCCATTGCACTATACAAAGAAAAAAAATGCCCTTTGTCCTTCCAACAGTGAAAAATGATCATACTGAGTAAGATTCATGTTTTTCTACAATATAAAAAATCCTTTCTTTCTTATTTCTGCAGGTGACTCACATTGACTATGGGGAGGAAAGTATCTTTTTCACTTTATGTGTTAATGTTGTTCTGAATTTGAAATTAAGCTACATGACTGGAAAGAAATCTGTGTTAGCTCTGAGCTAAATCAAGACAAAGGTTATTGTCATTTTTCTACAGAAGAAATAAGAGTAGCATCCACACATAAATTTCTTGCCCTGCATATTAAACTGCTTATGGACAGGAATTTTGTATCTTTTTTTTTCCTGTATGCATAGATCTGAGCATATTGTTGATTACTTTTTTTGGTTAATCTTGCTATTTTTTATTTTTAAATTTATTTTTTACATCATTGTTCATTTTTTAAACAATATTTGCTTCCTCCTCCTCAGGTGTAGTCCCCATAGAGTTTCCTTCCCCAATGCACCTGTGCACCACACCTCAGTCCCCTGTGCTCCTCCCTCCCACCCCCCTTATCCCTCTCCCTCCTCCTCCCCTGCAGGATGTCTCTGGTTTATAATTGTCTGTTTTTGCTTTGTTGTGTTTTGTACTGTTATTATAAGTCAGAAGGAAAAAGAAAAATATCGGATGGTTACACTCATAGGAGGAATATAGGAGAAACAAATAAGACATCAGAATAAAAAAAAATAATTGTTGGTTACTTTAAATGGAGAGTGATATCTGAAAAGTTAACCCCCAGCTTCAGTAAACAAAGGGACTGAGTAAAGTCAAAGGGCATCAAGGATCCAGTGCGTGTAGTGCCTGTGTGGCACGAGATAGATACTATGAGTGACGATGGCATAAGAAATTTAGGAAAGAAGCTGTTGTTGGAAAAGAGCAAATTCGATACTGCCATAGAGTAATGCTTTCAGGTAATGTAATGCCCCCAGTATGTAAACGCCGGGAGGTGGAGGGGTGTCAGGAAGGGCAAGAATACAACGATGTTGAGGTGGCTCATCGTTCCTGAAACATGATTTGTTACTTAGGATGATGGCAAAAATATGATTGGGAGGGAAACTATGAGCCAAATATATGTTATCTGGAAAGGTGGGACAAGTTTATGAAAGTTATCTGTGGAGGCAGCATTATCACTGTTAAGGTACCTGATAGATGTTTATGAAGGTGATAGACAAAACTAGCACTCTTAGAAAGCATGAAGGCTCTCAAGAATAAGAAGCCCAGACAAGGTATTCTTCTGTGATGCTTAAATGGCACGGGGAATGGAAACTTGTGTCAGTTTAGAACTGGTATGGAAAAAGTAGAATGAAGGTAATATGTAGGTGGGCTGACAGGTCTACATACCAAAGTCATATACATAACCCTCTTTCCCAGAAATAACAAGAGATCCAATGCTTTATGAACTTTATTATACTGCTTCTCACACACACAGAACATGTGCACACCTTAATCTGCATTTCCTCAATTTCTACAACTACAGAAAGTATTAGGAGTAAAGCTAAACTTTCAAAAAAAAAAAAAAAGCAGACGATATCATTTTTTACTTTTTAATATTTAAGGATGTTGGTTTCAAACAATCTATGCATACAAAATACTTTAGAAATTTAATCCTTTACTAAACGAGAGCTCCAAAAAAGTTGTGAACGTATGTACACTGTTTCACAAAGACTTTAGAATTAAATTTCCTGCCCAATGGACTTAAAGTCTTTCAATAATAAACAAGACTTGGGGAAAAGATGCAGAGGAAAAGTAAGCATCAAGTAGGGCTATTAGTAATTTACAGCCTACTATGGTGAATGGATCAAAAACACTTCCATTTTGCTACATGCACATGAATGTTAATAGTGAGTAACAGTGCTGAAATAAATCCAAATGATAATTTACCTAGTATATATTTTGTATCTAATACTGTTTTGAGTCAAGAAATTTACTAATATAAGAGCAGACTCTTCCTTCATTAATGTTAAATTGACACATCTGCATTTCATCATCTATCTCTCATCCAAAGGTAAATGCAAGTACAACCCTGGCCCCAGTTCAGAGAACAGTGTATTAAGGAGAGCTAAGTCCTTTGATAGACTCTGACATTTGCTGCTTGCTCTCTTGCCTTTCATGCTGAAGCTATTGTCTTCTTTGAGGGTCTGTTCTAAGGAGCAGACACAAAGAAACATTTTCATATATCTGGCTATGCCAATTACTCTATCACATTCCAGCAACCATTAACTTTGGGAATCCACCCATCTCATTACTGCACAAAGAGCCGTCAGCTCAGTTCTTCCTTTCTCATTCTGTAGACTACAGCAATATGTCTCTGGGGGGAAGTATAAAATCTTTCATACTCATGCGGACAGAGGAGGCTTTGTTCTCCCTACTCTGTGTGATCCTACAAGGGCATCCTTCAGTGGCACCCTTCAGTGGCACAACTTTGACCCATGGGTTCCAGAAATGGACGAAATACTCTTAGTACCTGGTGAAAGTTCTCCAAGAAATATTACTTCCAAGATACTGTGTATTCCTGGAAGATCTATAAAGGAAAAGTGTTGAACTTGAAATGACAAGACATGGTTTTTAATTTAATCCCACAATTGCTAGCTGTAAACAATTAGACAAGTCTCCTGTCCGAGTCTCTATAAAATGAGAATAATATGGCTTACCCTCAACCTGCTATGGAGAAATGATGAGTTAGCATTTGAACAACAGTCTGGGAAAGATCTTGGTCAAAAAAAACAAAAAAAATAATAAAACAAAACAAAACAGCTGCTCAATAAATGCTAATCCTGTTATATTCTTAGGAAACCTGAGAGAAACACAGGCATTGTGCCAAGTGCTTTCTCATTACAATCTCATTAAATCCTCCCAGTCATCTACTGAGTGAGTCATTACTTATTCCTGTGAACTTGATGAGGAAATGAAAGCTGAGAGAATCGGAAAATCTCTGCAAGTCACTCAACAGTAACAACAAATCCTGAAATTTGAACTCATCTGACTACACGCGTTCCTTTAGCCTGCATTGGCTCTGAGCTTGAAGTAGAAATCTGACATGTAATGGGAACAGATTGGACCTCAGCTGGACTCTGTCCTCCTATCCAGGTTACTTGAACTTCTCTTACTTGATACTAGTTATGTGAGAGTTCCCTAAAAGTTATTAAACTACAATTTTTTTCTAGAATCTGTTTTATTTATTATTTTAAGATATTCGGCACAGTGCCTAGAACCTAGCAGAGCTTCGATGAAGTTTTGTGAATTAATGATTTCATGTGCAGGCTGGAGGGAAGAGTTGAGAATTGCAAGGGTAGAGTGGTGCCCACAAATGCTCAAAGATGAAGTGTGACTGTGGGTATAATAATGCTCTAAGAATTAGTAAGAACTTATAAGAGCATTCTGGATTGCTGAGTTGTTCCAAAGATTTCTTAAACTAGGATTAGCGTGGAAAGTAGCCAAAATCCAAAGCAGACATTGCCGTGGTTTGGATTTTTTTGATATTCCTTGTCAGACTGGCACTGACTTCATGATGTTATTGTCTCATTAGGCTTTTGTGATACAATAATGCCATGTACAAGCTGTAGCTACACAGTTGCAGTTATTTCAGAGTTAAAGTGGTTTATAGGAAATGCTGCTTCTCTTGAAATTTCATTGCAAGAGGAGATCTGTAGAACTAGAAAAAGAAATCATAACATTTCAAGACACTGAAAGAAATGCTTGTAGAAACTGGTGGTATCTTTATCAAGTGGTTTGCCTAAGAGGGCTTTTCTCTTGGACATTGATTCTGAAAAATTTTATCTTCTTTCTGCCAGAGGCATTTTGTGATCTGTATTCAGTAAAGGAAAAAAAACCTGCATTGTGATTGATGACTGTTCTCATCTGCTAGAAACATACCTGACAGCAGGTTTGGAAGGACAAAAAAGTGAGGCTGCAGTGAAAAGTTGGAAAGAACCCACTAGATAATAGAAGAAAAAGAAATTCTAATATTCACAAAATTCTGGAAAGAAGACGGCATAGTGTCAGTGGGAAAAAGAATCCCACCAAATATTCTCTAATGTACAAATCAGATATCTTGTAATATTCAGATACCTATATGAATAACTCATCTTAATCTCAATCCACATTTAAGAAACTATCCGACACATAGAGAGTCATTATGGCTGAATTTCTCTAAAATATTTTCCTGGGTTCCTCTATCTTTTTTTTCTATCAGCTCAAGTAATTTTTTATATTTATGAGCTTAAAGCCTTGTTCCTTTATTTATTTATTTATATTACATCAGCCTTCATTTTTGTACAATGTATTATTTCCCTGTGAAATTCCCACCACCAGTTCACCCATGCACCATCACCACAGTCCCTTGTGCTCTTCCCTCCCCTGTCTTGAACCTTCTCCCTCCTCCTCCTCTACAGAATGTCTCTGGTCTATGGTTGCCCGTTGATTTTGATTTTTACTTTATTATAGTTATTTTTTTACCTGATCCGTTATTTTGTCCCATTATTTAAAGAAAGTTGCCTAGGCAGCTCTCCTGTCTGCTTGTGAACATGCAGGTGCCTCTTACCCGCCCCCACTTTTCCTAATAAACTTGTTCTTTTAAATTGTAAAAGGTAGATAAACTAAGATGCATGACCTCTATGGAAAATAGTATGCAGAGCCCTTTAAAACTAAAAATGGATATACCATATAATTGAGCAATACCACTCCTAGATATTTATCCCAAAAAATATGAAAACAATAGTTCAAAAAGATTTATGCACCTCTACTTTCCAAATCACATTATTCATAACAGTCAACCTTAATGCTCACTGACAAATGATTGGATAAAGAATACATGTATAGTATATATACTCAGCTATGAGAAAAGATGAAATTTTGCCTTTTGTGGCAACATGGACGGAATTTGAGGTAATTATGCTAAATGAAATAAGTCAAAAAGTGACAACCAATATCCGTTACATAATTTCCCTCATGTGTGGAATATAAGAATTAGTAACCAAATTTTGGAGCCTCCCTGGGGTTAAACTCTCCGCACTATCAAGGTATCACCAGGCATTGCAGCAAGAGTTAGATTCCCGGGTGGGGAGCTAACCCACATGGTGCAGCAGACCTCTCCTTGTACCACCCGCTGCTCCCCTCAGTGGTGTATTTTAGTCAGTTTGCCTATTCTGTTACCCACTCTGTCTCTGGTGAATCCTTTCACCCCTCCACCTCTGTCCTGTACCCTGGTTCTTGTATGCATAAATAAATCTTTAGGAAAAAATAAGCAAATTTTAAAAACTGACAAATACAACAGAAATAAATTTAGAGCTGGTGAGAAATGTGGTGGTTACCAGAAGGGAAGAGGCAGGGAGATAGTAGAAAAGAGAAGAGGTGGGGGATTGGAAGTGTGGCAAACTGCACTTTTGGTGATGGGTGAGTGAAGACAATGCTGTGGTGTGACACTGTATTCCCCAAGTTATGTAGTATTGTAAACTAATGATAAACCAATAACATTTGATTAAACAAATAAATCTGGGTATTTACATATGTCGGAATTGTAACCAGGGATGTAGTTCTGTAGCATCACTAGGCACTATTATTGTCTGGAGTGCAAAAATCCCTATCAAAGGGAAACAAACCAAAAAAGTGTGTCCATTCTATTCTTGATGTCGTGGTTAAATGTATGTAGGATCAGTGAAATAATGAAGTTCTGTGAGCTCTGAAGAGGACAGCTGCTCCCTAGTATTAAGACAACATTATTATTAATTGCCTTTATTCATTTTTAAACCATCTGTTTTCAAGCATGAGCACTTGTGACCCGATTCTCTCTCAGTGCCACCCAATGTGTTGCTTACATATATTTAATCTTCAGCTGATTCAAAAGGAGCTGTTTTGTAGAAATGGATGATGCTGGAATAAAGGAAAAACAATATTTTGAGACAAGATTATTTACTCTTAAACTATCCTGACTACTTTGCTGCTGGTAGTATGTTAGTAAAGTTTATTTTAACTTTATAAAACTAAATAGTGCCATCTTGGGGTGAAAATAAATGCATTAATATTTGAACAATCAAGAATTTTAAAATTGCCTTTTGGTATTGTAATAATGTCATTGCTCTAATAATTTTCAATGAGTTGACTGAGATTATTGTGAAATAGAATGAAAATGTTACATATCAGATAAGCAACAAATAGTTTGGAATATATCTAGCTGGACATAATTATACAACCACGAAATTCCTTACTCAAAAGTTCTTTTCACCCATTACGATTGGTGAAAAAATGAGATAATTATGTAAAGCTGAGATGATGCTTCTTAAGCAACCAGGAGTGTTACCTGATGTTTTCATTTCCTTTGTGGTCACACATAAATAAAATGAAATCCATCCATAAAATTCAGGGCTGCAATTGCTGATGGTCCGACTGCCTGAAGAGATAAGATGTTTTTAGTGATTTGGTGATTCCATTCACTGAGTTATGTCAGAAACCTGTGGTGGGGGATGGGAGTGGTAAACTTGCTGGGAGGTTTTTTTATTTTTTTATTTTTTATTTTTTTGCAGGTGAGTCTGAGGATCCTGCTATATGAACCCAATGGGGATGAAGCTAAAGACCAACATAAATCAAAGATTCTATGTTTTACTCATCTTATCTGTCCTTTAAAGACTGAGGTCATGTCCTAACAGAAAGCTTATAAAAATAGGAACTGTCTCTGAGCAACAAACTTGATTCCTCTGTCTTTAGATTTCAGTAAAAATTGACTTTTCTAGGAAGAGAGGGAATAGGTCTGGCACAAAGACAGTGTTCAATAAATGTTTGTTCAATTAAATAAAAATGAAGAATGTTTCTTCCCTTGCAGCCTGAAGAGACTTCAACTAAAATGAAATTTCTGATATGCCAATCTACCATATCACTTTCCTGCTTAAAATCCTTTGATGATTTCATAATCAATTCAAACTCCTTGCACATGTCATTCATAATCTGTTCCTGTGCACATTTCTTGACTCACCTCTTATTCTTCATTACCCTGGTTCTCTGCCCTAACACACACACACACACACACACACACACACACACACACACACACACACACACACACACACACTGATGTACCCAGATAAGATGATGTGTTGTCCTTAAGGCTACCACAATCTGCCAAGCCTTTGCTTCCTGAAGCAGACTTTCCTACTTTATCTGATGAGCTCCTGATAACTTAAAAAGATTAAGCCCAAACATTACCTCCAGAATGAACGTGTTGTTGACTTTCTCATGTGAACAAGAGTGCGTTTTTTCTCTTTGCTTATAGAATCTCAAAACATACTTCAGTGTGACATAGTTTGTTAAAATTGCTTCTGTGAGCATCTTCAGTATACCATGTTTCTCAAGAACATTAAACGTTTTATACTTTAAAATATTTTTTTTTGGCTATTATGATTGATAAGTGACCCCTTAGCATTTATTAAATGCTTACTAAAGGCTTAAAGGACATATGGTAAAATCAAGCTCCAGTAATATAGGGGCTGGAATAGACACGGTGCAGGTTTTCTGATCCCATGCAGACAGGGTAAAGGAGGAGTCAGAGTCCTCAGTGGTTTTTTGCATGTCTTTTATTGGGGTTCACCAGACATATGGCAGGCAGGGGTGCTGGGGGGCCAGGAGGCTGGCAGGCCTCCCAGCTCCCAGCAAGTCTTCACTCTATCTGGGCTCTCTCTCTCTGGCGTTCTCTGCTTCTGCTTCGGGCTTCTTCTCTTTCGGCTTCTGCTGCTTCTGGTGTCCCCGTGACGCCGCCCTTAAAAAGCACAGTCTTAGCCCAGGTGAATCCCATCTACCTATGCCCACACCCTACTCCAGGTGCCCGCCATCAGGCATGCATTCAGGACAAGGATCCATCATCTATCCTGATGGCGGGAGGGCAGAAAAGCCTGACATTTTTCCTTACCCTATAAGTACCCACACTCCTTGCTGAATTAATAAAATTTAAATCTACCCCAAAATCTCTATAGCTGCCCAGGAATGGTCAGATGATTAAGTTCTTGCCATTAAGATGTGGCTGGAAAAGACATGTGAAGCTTCCTTATAGCTTCCTTATTAGGAATCAGCTTGCTCTTTATTTCCTTTGTCTTTCCTTATTTCCACTGACTGGCAAATGGTGACAGTTGAGTAGTTTTATTGAACCCAGTGATGGAAACTAATATTGACATTTACTGAGCTGCTCTGACAGCCTGGGAAACTACATGGCCTGCCAGATAACCCTAGTCTTTGTGCTCACATTAGAGAAAAAAATTCCTGTCATATAGAAAGCCCGGTACTTTGGGGTCTCTTTGTTATAGCAATTCAGGTTTTACCCTATATAATACATGGTTAAAATGAACACTGTTTTCCAGGATACTGAAGTTTTATTTTGTCAGTTTTGTATCAGAGAAAACAGTTTCCAATTTTTTTAAAGATTTATTTATTCATGCATGTAAGAACTGGGGTACAGGCTAGATATGTGGGAGGGTGTAAAGCCAGGAACTGGACACAGTGCAGGTTTTCTGATCCCATGGAGACCGGGTAAAGGAGGAGTCAGAGTCCTCAGTGGTTTTGCAGGTCTTTTATTTCGGGTTCACCAGGCATATGGCAGGCAGGGGTGCTGGCTGGGGGCTGGGAGGCTGGCAGGCCTCCCAGCCCCCAGCAAGTCTTCACTCTATCTGGGCTCTCTGGAGTTGGTTCTGCTGCTTCTTGGCTTCTCTTTCGGCTTCATGCTGCTGCTGCTGCTGCTGCTGCTGCTGCTGCTGCTGCTGCTGGCGTCCCCGTGACGCCGCCCTTAAAAGCACAGTCTTAACTCAGCTGAATCCCATCTACCTATGCCCACACCCTATTCCAGGTGCCCGCCATTAGGCATGCGTTCAGGACAAGGATCCATCATCCATCCTGATGGTGGAAGGGCAGAAAAGCCTGATATTTTCTTTACCCTACAGAGGGTGAGAGGATTCACCAGAGACAGAGCAGGGAACACAACAGGCAGACTGAGGGGAGCAGCAGGCGAGACAGGAGAGGTCTGCCGCATCATGTGGTCATATCTCTGTTGCCAGCCAGGATTGAACCGGCGCTGCAAAAGCTGAGGACAGCTTCACAATGCTGCACTCAACCACCTGCACCACCAGGGAGGCCCCAACAGTTTCCATTTTTATTATTTATTAAGATATAACCTGAATATATGTTATTGGAAACATGTAAATATTACTTTTAACAGTGAGTTACAAGATTGTACCAAATTTCAAATCATACTTCTACATTAGTATTTATTGCCTGTTAAACTCAAATCATCATAAAGACAAAAAAAACAAAAGTCAACCACGTCAGAAAATAGGAAATTTTCTTATAATCTTTTAAAATATCTTCCATTTTCAAGACTCTACCTTGTTCTTGGCTTTTTCATCTTCTTCCCACGCGCAGTAACTGATCATCAGTTTCAGGCTCAGGCTTATCTCACATTTTAGGAAAATCTTGATCTTGAGTAGAAGAGTTGAGGAACTCCAGGCCTATTGGGTATTAGCTGCTAGCATGGCATTGGCCCTTATCACTCATTCAAATCACTGTCCTTTTTTCCCCTAAGACCTAATTTTCCTCCTTTCTGTCTCAGATATCTTCAATAATGATTTAGAATCTAAAATGGTAACCCATCTGACAAGGTAATACGAGACTAGAGTTTCTTCCTGCACTCACCAGTGACCACTGTGAGGGTGTATTCCCTCAAACCACATCACACACTATATTGCTTGACCTACCTATCAAAAATCCGTACTCCTTGGTGATTTTCACCCAGTCTGGATCACTGTTGTTATAGTCTATATGTATCATCCTTTGCTTAGAAAGACGTGATCATTTCACCTGAAATCTGATTTCCTGTACTTCTTGTACTTGAGCACATCCAGTGCCTGGTAGTCTCAGATGAAAGAGTCTTTGTTCCTCTCAATATTCCTTTGATCACTGGAGTTAACTGATCAGTAGTGATAATGTATTGCATATAAAGTTATTAGTAAGTGGCTTCAATTTGTCTCTCCCATGCATTTCTTTCCTTATTTCTCATAAATGACTCCTTCCCTTTCACCTCCTGTTCTTCCCCTCTCATCTTGAAATATTAGCAAACAATGACCCCCAACCTTTCACTCCGTTGCCTCTATAGGGGTATGCCAGAGAACTGTATTGATCAATAAGATTGATCCAAGGATAGAAAATGGCTTAGGCAAGATCCCAATGCCTGTTCAGAGACCAAAATATTTGCTAGTGTACAGAGGGCTTATTTATTCTGTACTTCTGAGATCATGAGCAAGAAAGGCATTTAAACCTGGAGCTATTATATTAATGAATAAGAAATGGAGATAAAAATGGTTACCTGGTAACATCTTTGAACACCTGGACTAAGTAAGTAAAGTATTTTTGTTGCTGCTGCTGCTGCTAATAAATATCCAAATATGGACTGTTTTCTTTTACATACTTGTAAGGAATTTAATCAACACCCAGAGTCACAAATTACAGTTCAACCATCTGTTTTTGTAAATAAAGTTTTATTGGAAGATGGTTATATCCATTTGCTTGCATATTATTTATGGCTTCTGTCCCCCAAAAATGGCAGAGCAGTGTTTTTGTAGGATATGCAAAACCATCTTTAAGGCATTGCTTTTCTCTTGAGAACCAGGCACGTATGAATATGCACATATGTTGAAAAAAACATGTTGTATTTTTGTTGATAAAATGTTCCTTTAACAATTAATTTCATATGTAAGATAATTATTTCATATGTAAGATAATCTTTTTTAAAAGACCTTATTGTGTTCTTGTTTAAGTGAATAGTGTATATACAAATGACTGAACTTGTATCTAAAATTGAAATAAACACGTTATCTATAGCTAGAGGTTTTGTCCTATAAAATTTCTTTTGAGAAAAATATATATAGAACTTTCCTTATTCATTTGATATGTTATCATACCAAAATTGATACAAAATGGGGGTTATGGTTGAAATGGAAAGTGTTCAAAATTTCAACCAAATGGATCTTTTAGATATGATTGCTTCATTTATGTTAATTTGTATTTTTAATTTAAAAATACCAGTAATTGCCAGAAACGAATGTTAATACACTTGCACTTTTCTTTCTAAATGAAAGCAAGTGCCTGGAGAACTTAGTGAATTCACTACATATTTTATGTACTCCATTCACATCTCAATGAGTTTAACATATGTTTTGTCCCTGTGTCATTTTTGAGAAGGGTTCCTGTTAGGGTATGAAATTATGACTTTAAACTCCATATACCTCAAATTCCAAGCCAATACGAAAGCATAGCTTCCTATTGAAAGTTTGTGGTCGTAAAAGGTATTCACCAATTTGATATGAGCACAAATCTAATAGCCATTAGGCAGTTTTCCAATCATGTCTATGCA